CCATAGAAAATGGACTGTGGATGGATTTCCCCTCGTAAGCATCTGCCTGCCTGTTGGCCCCCCAAAGTCCCGCCACCCTGTTCTGTAGCTGCTCTGTCCAGCCAGCCGTCCCTCCTCCTTGGCTCACATTTTCCACTGGAAACACTTGACTATGCCAGGAATTCCCTCTACACCTTCTCTCTTTCTGTCATTGAAGATTTTGCTTTCTCACCTCGTCTTTCTCTTCGCTGCCTTTCTCTCGGTCTCGCTCCACTTCTCACCTCAGCTTTTCACATTAGCTCTCGCTTCCCCTGCTTTTCCCTCCATCATTCTCATTTCATCTTACCGCCCTCTTCCCCTCCTCCTCCTTACCTCCATGCCCCCATTCCTTTCGTGCCCCCTCTTTTTTTCCTTCCCCCCGTTCCCTCACCACGCCGACTTTCATTTCACCCCAAGTCATCATATCACAGCGGCGTGCCCAGAGTGCACCCCCTCTTCCTCCTCTTCCCTCGCTGTCTCCAAATTATGAGGCTTATCTGTCGAGCTGTCAACCAGGTCCCCGCTAACAATGGCCTTCTTTCTCCATGTTCTCCTCTTGCCATAACAATGAGCTGCTTTCTCTCCCTGAAGGCTGAGAGACTTGACGCCTCCTCGTAATATCTCTCTGTTCAGGAGAAATCTTTCTCATTCTTCTTGCTTGACCTCTCTCTTTCTTTCTCCTCCACTCTCCCGCCTCTCTGTCTCTGTCAATATCCCGGTCTATCAGAGTGTCTTTCACTCTCTGTGTCTGTCTCCCACCCGTCAAGCTCTTCAAAAAAGTTCTGTGATGATTAAGGTGTGTGCTTGTGGGGGAGGGGGGTCTTACTGTGATAAAGGCAACACTATAGATATGTGCTGTATTACTGGGTCATGAGTGCATGAGACATAAATTGAGCTGGGGCAAAGGCAGGACAAACAGAGAGATAGTGAGACAAGAGAAGGTGCAGCTGCAGAACACAGTGTCTCTGCACCTGAAGATAAGAGCACATCCATTATAAACCATATACAGGAGCAACGATGAAAGACCTTAAGTGAAAGTCCAGCTCACTTTCCTGCATCGACAGTGTTTGGCTGGAGCACTTCCAAGGCCAGGTTGGGCAGGAAACTCTCCTGTTTCAGGAAATATGTGGATCTGTCAGAAAGAAGCCAGAGGTTCAGGCCTTTAGACATGAAATCTTAAGGGGAGTTTACAGTGACCCCCAAACACAGCTCCACTAAGACACATCCTGTCAGTTTAAATATGTTGTGTGTTCTTCCAATGTTGAGGTGAATCTTTGTAGGAACCTGATGATTCATTTACATGTAGACGTGTACAGCAGTGTCTTTTCTGTCCCCAGTTTCAATGATACATCTAATGTGTTACAGCTTGTTCCTGATTCCTGTCCAGAGCAGTGTCGGCTGCGTGTCACAGGTGGACGAAGCCTTTAACTGATGGTTAAAATAAAATATACCTAAAACACAAGAGAGTCATGCATTCCTAATTTTAGTAAAGTATCGCCGTCAGAATGTATGTAAAAGTGCTCATTAGTCAGTGAAGTGCCTCCCATCAGAGCATTACTGTTATATAATTACATCTCGGGTTGTTATTAATGTAAGTAGTGTTCTAATATTGTATAAAATTAGCTTCATGGACTGTAGTTCAGTCTGTAACAAAGCGTTTATTTTAAAGCCTGATCATATGTTTCAAATATAAAATGTTACTTTTCAGTAATTCCCCCTGAAATGTAATAAGCATAAAACAAAGTTCAGGACCTCCAAAGTGTACATAAGTACAGTATGTGAGTAAATGTGCTTAGTTACACTCTGGCACTGATCTCAGGGGACAAATTGGAGACAGTCCCCAAACCAGACAGAAAAAATAAAGACTTCTCAGAAACGTGGTTGAACAAATTAAGAGCTTATTAACTCTGCTGTCGATGTGTGCGTTTCTGACTCAAATAACATTGGGGACATCTTGAAACTGTTCACATTGGGCTTTACAGTGGTAGAACACACACTGACATGGGACTAACCGTCTCTAACGTTACCCACTGAGGCTGCGTCGCTTTGTGTCTGGGCTGTAACGGCGTCTCTCTTCAGACCACAGCTCCTCTGTAAGTCCAAACTGCACAGCTGAGCAGGAGCAGGGAGCGAGGACAGTAAGGATGGAGCAGTGATAATGTCTCCTAGTATTTCATGCCTGTCGCTTATTTAGACTTCAAATACATTTTCAGCCGGGTTTTCTGTAGCTCAGTGGCTGTCACCGCAGCTCACGGAGCTGATAGTCACGGCAGCTTTGTGGCTGACGTGTGTATGTGTCACTGAGAGAGAAAGATGATCAAACAAGTCCGACTTTTGATGAGATTATCATTCATTTCATTTTAATTAATGGTCTTTTAAGTCGGGGGCCCTTTGTTGTACGTGAGGCCCCCCCCCCCCCCCACAAAAGCCTTTTTACTCAAAACTGGTCGGAGTCTTTTTGGAGGTGAAAAAGACATGTTGAAAATTCCTTGAGCAGGGTTTTTAACTGCTGCTTTCAGAGGTTATCATACTCTGCAGCAAATGCCCCAAGAAAATTAACTTTGATTGTTGTTTCTATATCTTATGTTTTTACCCTACTTGCCCTTGCCTCCACCTTAATAGCTTCCCAGGAAGGAGTTTAGTCTCCATTCTTGCTGCCTGTGCCCGTGTTCTTCTCCAAATAAATCTTCCAAAATGCAGGGTTCTCCCTGGCTGCTGCAGAAGGGCCTGGGCTCTAACCTTGCCAGGGGTGTGTGCTGAATGGGAGGGAGAGGGAGGCTGGTCTGTGGGAGCACGCCATAACCTTTAGGGCCAAGCATCAAGCTTTCTCGCACTGCAGCAGGAAAAGAAATGAAATACTTTTCTTGACATTTTGGGGGGTTTGATGTATTTTTCATGTTCTTTTAGGGAGGCTGGGAACTACAAGGTCTCTGCTGGGTTCATGATGACTTTAAAAGGCACTGCAGTGTTTTTGTTCTAACTCTTACAGAACCAGAAAGACAGATCACTGCCTTTGGCCCATGGCCTTGAAGAGCCTACAGAATTAGCAGTGGCAGGGATGTGTTCACCAGTCACAACTGGGAGCTGTCCAGTACAGCCACAGTCTTTGTGTTGTGGATCGAGAGGGACACCCACCTCTTGTTCCCAGGAGGCATTAAAATCCCTGCATGTCTGTCTCCCTGTGTTATTCAGAGGTTCCCCCAGATGTGAGCCAGATGTCATGGCATGTGGTACAACTGATTTAGTTTGTTGTAACGTTTGACACATGTACTACCCAAAGTACCTGAAAAATGTCATTGTCACCAGTATTTAATCATGCTCATCCTTTCAGGATGCTGGTTAGTCATTTACAGAGCAGGTTTGGCTGCTATGAGGTTACTGCCTGGAAACTCACTCGTCCTTCATCGCCTCTGATTTAATTTGTCCCGCCATGTCAAGAGGCACTCGGTTCGAGGTTTTGAGGCTGTGGAACACTGTGACAAATTAAATCAAGCTTTGCTCAAGCAGCCTACTGTACATCTGAACACACATAGTATTTTTCTTTCTCAGATTTGAGGTATTTCTGTTGCCGGCAGTGGACGTTGTTTCAAAAAGATATAAAAGGCTGATCTTGTACAAGTCATCTGTTGGTTGTAAGAGCCCTGCATTTGTTCCTGTAATCTGCAGTGCAACTACTGAGGTGAACTGAACTATAAATAACATTTGTATTCCCTGAATTTTCCTGCATAATCATTTTCAAGCTGGACTGCATAATCTTGGACAAGAATCATGACATCTTCCTACATCACCATCCAGAAATGAGTTTTTGTCTGCCGCTGAAAAGGACTGTCACATTTTGATAATGACAGTTTGAAATAATGACAACAGGACAGAGGAAGGCGTCAGTGCAGAGGAGGGGCTGGGTGCCAAAGAGGAAAAGGCATAAGACAGGGAGCTGAGTATCAGGAAAGAATGCACGGTGAAAAGAAAAGGCAGGAGGGCATAAATAACAAGCCTGAAATAGCTTTCCCCCCGCCGTTGTCCCTGGCTGCTTCCTCTGCTCCTGGAGAAAGGAATAAATCCATTTCTAAGAAAAAGAGAAGACGCTTAAGAAGGTGTGGGCTCGTGCCCGGGGGGGTTTCTTGGCGTCCAGGTGGGGGCCGTTGTTAAAGCCCAGCTCCTGGCCAGGTGTGATTTTGTGTTGATGGCCACACATGTACTGTGTGTGTGTGTGTGTGTCTGAGGGAGAATACACATGAAGCGTTCTGTGTTTCACATATGTCCCTGTATGTATGTCTGCATGCAAGAGAAAGTGTTTGTGTGCTTCCCCCGGCACCGCCTGTGTGCTGGTTAGAGCATTAATGATGTGTCTAGGGAGCACTGCCTCTACATAATTGATCAACCAAGATTTATTAGCCACAGAATTAAGTTGTGGGGGCTCAGGAGCACAGGATGCATTTGTTCTTGTTTTTGGATTTATGTGTGTGGATGCATTGTCTCTCCCCTGTGATCCATTTCTCTCCATCAGCCTCCTGCCACGGGGACGCCCCCGGCCATATAATTGGCCAAGTTATTTTAATTTTAGTCAGGTATAAATTAAATTCGAAGCACTGAGCCTGTACGTCTGCGTCTAAGCAGCAGGGCTTAGTGGATGTCAGAGCAAACCATGCTGCAGAGCCACAGCAGTAAATCCTCTTCCTGTTGTTTCTAGCAGGCATCCCGGCCCTTCACTCCTGCATCTGGCTGCACTTTCACTTGCTGTCAAAAGTGTTTTACTACCTGCGGCGATAACAGATCAGTTACATTTGCTTTATTTGAGCCATTTGTTTGTAGATCACTTTTTGGTAGAATTGTTCATATGTCAAATAATCATCATTTCTTTTTCACTAAACCAGATAAACCTCTTTGTTTATTATCATGATCTCAGTGATCTCTCCTGTTAAATTACGTGTGTGTTGAATATGTGTCACTTCACTTCACTTCCTGTTTTGTGTGTGTTTCAGATTACTGAGATGGGGAAGGATTCCCTCCCTGCCTGGCTCCATTGGGATACCAACAGCAGAGTCCTGCAGGGTCTGCCTTTGGAGGAAGACAAGGGTGTCCATTACATCTCTGTGTCCATCTCCAACCACACAAAATCCTCCTCTTCTTCAGACGTCTTTTCCATTGAGGTACACCCTGAAGATCATTTGGACCCAGATTCAGCCCAGCTGGCATCCAACCAAGCTACCACCGAAGACGACATCCAGCCGTTCATGTGCGGCAGCGAGGAGCCCGTCACAGTGTTGACAGTGATCCTGGATGCTGATTTGACCAAAATGAGCCCAGAGCAGAGGGTGGAGCTCCTGGATAACATGAGAAGCTTTTCTGGGGTGGAGCTCCAGCACATGAAGATCCTCCCTGTGGTCAACAATCGGCTGTTTGACATGTCTGCATTCATGGCAGGGCCAGGGAATGCCAAAAAGGTGAGCAAATGTATAAGTGAGTGAGTAAATGATACATGAGAATGAGTGCTGTTACTTGTATGAGTATGTGGTCGATAAGTACGTGTTTGCTGGTCAGTGAATCATTTAACATGTAATGACATGAACCACTGTCTCTCCAGGTGGTGGAGAATGGTGCTCTGCTGTCGTGGAAGCTCGGCTGCTCACTGGACCAGAGCACAGTCCCAAATATCAACAGTGTCCAGGGTCCTGCAAAGGAAGGCACAATGTCAGCCAAGCTGGGCTACCCTGTGGTGGGATGGCACATCGCCAACAAGAAACCCCACGTCCCTAAGCGGGTCAAGCGCCAATTAAACAACACTCCAACACCTGCTCTCTCACTGCCTCCTCCAACTACTGTAGTGGAGCCTCCAACAAGAATTATCCCAACACTCTCTTCTCCATCAATTGCTGCACCAACTGAAAGTTCTGCTCCCCCTGTAAGAGGCCCTGTTCCCCTGCCAGGCAAGCCTACAATCAAAGTCCGTGACCCTATTGCCCACACTCCAACCTTAGGACCCCCTCAACCAACAAAGGTAATGGAGACAACAAGCACTGTTCTCATTCAGCCAACCATGACAAGGCCTATTCATGTGGAACCCACTCCCACACCACCCACACCTACCAAAAGACCTACCAAGAAGCCCAGGAGGCCCAAAACCACACCAGCACCCAAAGAGACAAAGCCCACCACAGCTAAGCCGTCCAGGAGCACCACACCATCGCCTGGTGTCATCCCAGATCCATTCAATGAGAAGCCTGTCTTGCGTAACCCTATTGACCAGGTCAATGCACTGGTGGGCACCTATTTCGAGGTTAAGATCCCATCGGACACATTCTTTGATAAAGAGGATGGGACAACGGATAAGCTGCGCCTCACCCTGAGACAGAACCTCAAAGAAGTGGTTGGAGAGGGCTCCTGGATCCAGTTCAACTCCACCAGCCAGCTTCTTTATGGCCTGCCTGATGTCCAACATGTGGGAAAACATGAGTACTTCATGCAGGCAACTGACAAAGGTGGCTTGAATGCAAATGATGCTTTTGAGGTGCGTGTGAACCGCTGGCCCATCAATGACAAGACGCCTGTGATCTTCACAGCTCGATTTGAAGGTGAGCCACGTTCAGTAACAAACGATATCCACAAGAAGATCCTGCTGGTCAAGAAGCTGGCATATGCACTGGGAGACCGCAACAGCAGCACAGTGAGTCTCCGGAATATCAGCAAAGGGTCCATCATGGTAGAGTGGACAAACACCAGCCTTCCACAGCACCCGTGTCCGAAGGAACAACTCTCAGTGATGAGCAGGACACTTGCCAGTGCTGACGGAAGGCCCTCGCAGACCTTCAGGTACACCATGGGGCCTGAATTCTTACCTATGGACGTCATGGTCAAGGGAAGGGCGAGCTGTAAAACATATTCCTTCATCCCGCCAGGAGAGATTGATATACCTGAAACAACAGCGGTCACTCCAGCTCTGGGAACAGGCCGGCAGAGCACAGACGACGTCTATCTCCACACAGTCATTCCCGCTGTGGTGGTTGCAGCAATCTTGCTAATAGCAGGTATCATTGCAATGATTTGCTACAGGAAGAAAAGAAAGGGCAAACTAACCATCGAGGACCAGGCCACCTTCATCAAGAAAGGTGTGCCTATTATTTTTGCTGATGAGCTTGATGACTCTAAGCCACCTCCATCTTCCAGTATGCCCTTGATTCTTCAGGAAGAGAAGCCACCACTTCCACCCCCCGAATACCCCAACATGGCCGTGCCAGAGACCACTCCCCTCAACCAGGAGCTGCTGGGGGAGTACACAGCTCTGCGGGATGAGGACCCCAACGCACCTCCCTACCAGCCACCACCTCCCTTCACCGCTCCCATGGAGGGCAAGGGCTCCCGTCCCAAGAACATGACTCCCTACAGATCTCCACCTCCCTATGTGCCGCCCTAAGACTTGTTTAACTCTCCCCTCACAGGGTGGAGGGAGAGGACGCCTGAGGTACTGTAACGGTTTCCATTCTGGTGTTTGTCTGTCTGGACATTTACAGGGAGAGATGACAAGAGGTGCTAAAGTACACAACAGCTACAGGGGACTTTGGTTTGGGAGGGGGAGTGTTGAGTCAGGTGGGGTTTTACTGCAGCCAGATGGGACGATTGGTTGAAACAGCTGGGAGGGACTACTGTGTTGGTGGTAGCCCAGCTACTACAGTGGCCTAGGACCAACAAATTCTTGTCGCATTGGCTTTCAAGTCAACCAGTTGACAGTTGGGAGACGAGCGCTCCCTTCCCAGCATTTCATTAGTTTTTCTGTTGATTTGGATACTGGCTTTTAATTAGCCTTTTCATTCTCATCCCAAGTTTATTATCATTTCTTCCCATCTGGACTGAACTATAACAGCTTTTCTTTTGTCTTGCTTTAAAACGATACAAGAAGACAGTGAACTGCCATCAGACCACTGCAAGCACCAACTCGTGTTTTTACGGTGGAGAAAGAGAATCTGTGAAAACACCTGACACAAGGATCTCCGATCACCCCTGCAGACGACACAAAGGAATGGGGGGGGCGAGGTGTGTGCGTGTGAACGAGTGGGTGTGTTTATTCAGACTCAATACGGTTTGCCTTTTAACACTAGTTGTCTGTTTCTATCCTTATTCACAATGTCTAGTAAAGATGAGAATAACAAGGTAGCCTAAACAGATTTAGAGATGAATAATAAAGTCTTTTTTGTTTTATTGGTTTTAAAATTCACTGTATATCTGGAAGATGTTCTGATAGACTCTATTATATTTTTGGCGGTGGAGGGGGGGACTGCCTCACTAAAATAACCTGCAGGAGCTTTTTATTCCTGTTTGGTTTGGCAGTGTATCAGTTACAAGCCATTAGATGAAAATCCCATCTTCCTACCCTCAGCAGATCCAACAGGCTCAGCAGCAGCAACTGCTGTTTTTATGTAAAGGTAATAATTTACTGTAGGTAACTTATGAATGAAGAGATTAATGTAGATTTGGAAGCAAAATATATAGTTGGGTGGATTTCAGTTCATGCAATTTGACCTTAAGGTTAATGTCACGACAGTGAACATGCCATTTCTGCCCTGTTCTACAAACAGTACATACCACACCCTGAAACAGGAACAAGAGCCCTGCGGTGTATTTTGGCCCTTGGATAATTATTTTTTTATGTAACGAGGCAGTTCTTCTCTCCAGCTTGAGGAGAGACATTGTGTGCCATGGAGACCGTCCAAGATTGGACTGTACAGATGTTCAGAGGAGGCGACGCAGGCAGCGATTCAGAAGACACAACCTTGAATTTACAGTAATTGCTGAAAGACGGTCAATGAAAATCCATTTTTTTACAGAGCTTTTGATACAGCCTCAAATTGTTTGACTATTAAAAGAAAACATGATTAATGATTAGTCTTCTGTGATTTGTAAAATCTTAGCCTAGAAGTTCAGTTATGATTCAGTTATGTACACTTCAGTTTTTCTGACATTGGTCACACATTTCAAGTGTTTTGTTTTTGTGAGTTTGCATATAAAGATGTATCTCCCACTATACAAAGATGGAATGACCCATATTTTATGTAATCACAGATTTTATTTTGATGTCCTTTTGTTCATTGAGTTCTTACTGAAAGTGACCCTTTGCAATAATAATGTACGGCGCAGTCCACTGACTCGTATTGTCATAACCTTGTTGGTTTTTGCAGGCTGCCAAATCTTCTAGTTTATCAAGTGTGCATTGTCATAATAAAACCGACTGGTATGATCAAAAAACAACAATAACCCTTCTTCATTCATGCATCTGATTTAACTTGTCCTCGCTGGTTCTGCTGGGACGTTTCCGCCCGTGAGAAATGTCTCATCCTGTCACGCTCCCTGGTCAAAACCTGACTGATGTTTATGGATGAGGCTTTTGGTCGCTGTCACTTTTCTGCGGCTCCCGCTTAGCCTCAAATTGATAAATCAATGTGTCCTGAGACCGTCAGAAGTTTTAGCCCTCCTTGATGGCTTGCTGCCCAGCAGCCGTCTATGTCTCTGGGCTCACCGGAACAGTTTCACTGCTGTCCGTTTTGTACTAAATTATTCTGTTATTGAATGACTAGTTGGACAATTCAGTTTGAAAGCTCTGCCCATTAAAAAGGCTATGCTGTGAAAACAGTCTCAGCTCAATCTGTCTCTACACACAACGCATACAGATCATTTGCATTGATTGTTTAGAATATTGATTTGATGTACACAGTTTGCCAGCTCTGTTGAACCTCTGTGATAATTCATGACAGAGTTTAATTTAGAGGTGGAGGAAGCAATGATGAACGCATTCCCAAGACATCGCTAGGTGCTAAAATGTACAAATGGCTCACGGTGACAAAGACTAATAGAGGATTGATCTTGGTTGGATTGAGGCACCTTGTGTGTGTTCATGACAGTGTCCTCATCTTTCAAACTAAGATGAGTTGTTTCAACATGTCTTTATGAAAACAGATTATAAGATTAACTAGTGAAATAAATCTTAAAGGCTGTGGCACTGGAGTACTGCAGACCACTGTGATCTTACCACAGCATACATTAACTTCAGCACCACACAAGCAGATTCTCATCTCGTGTGTACAGCACATCTGATTGGGTATTCTGGCAGATTATAGATGTGCTGAGTCTACATTTTCCAAGGACTAATCAGTCCCCTTCAGAGCACTAGACAAGTCCAGTCTATCACAGGAAGGTTGCTAAAATGATTTGAACTGTCCTTTTGTCTGTATCCCACAGGAAGATCACATCAAGTCAACTTTATTTTTCTATACACAAGCAACAGTGATGGCTGATGGTAAAAGTCTACAAAGGCTGAATTATCACAAGGTTAGTGTAGGACGTGAGGTTACGAGGCAGCGTCGGTGCTTTGTACGTCCTCTCAGAATCGTAGAACTGCACTTGTTAAAGCCAAGAATGGGAGTCAGCTTGTAGGCCGCATGCTCGCCTGATACCTGGTTGTTACGTGGAACTTCTCAGATACTAGATGAATAGTGGCCTGAATTCAGATCTGTAGAAACACACAGGAGGGTAAAGGCACATTTATGTCTCAGTTTGCATTAAAGATCAGTTATGAGTTGCTTGCACAGGTCTCACTTTAGTTTCAGACACTCATGTTGAAGGTGTAATTTCAGAAGGTAGACATCATTCTCTTCTACTGACACACACTGCCTGTTTTACGGATGCAGAAGATAAATGGCATGCAGGCACATTCAATTACTCCCTGGTTCTGGTGCCTTCTTGTGATTTATTTACATTTGTGTTGTGGCTGTTAGATGTGGGCTTCAGCCGCTATGAAGAAAACAAAATGCAAATAAAGATTAATATTTACATTTTACTCTGATCCTTGGCAATAAGTTGTATATCATTGTACTTTGTCAGACCACTTCACTGCAGTGACAATGTAAATGTAATGTTACATAGATGAAATTATCGTTTCCCATCAGGCTACACTCAATAACCTACAACCCCAGGATTAAAACTGGTCTAAATGCTTTTGTAAATGAGATGTGTCCATTTTCTAGCTTTAATTAAGACTTCTAAAAACATATTTTGGCCTGTTCACCCCCCCTTCTTCAACCCTTTTTACAGAGCTTCGTTACAACACCACTTTATTTTTCTACCAATTAACAGAACAGAGTAAGTCACTCATTAAAAATGTTTTTCACAAATACAGTTGAATTAAACAACAACAATTATTCACACCCTATTTCCTTTGTAGCCTTCAAATGAATGACAGTAAATCACAGAAATGCCCTTTAAACCTTACAAACATATTTTCTACCAGGCGGTTTATACGTTTTCAAACTCATGATTTCACTGGCTACAGAGCTTGTCAGTCATTCTGCCAAAACCTGAGAATAGCCAGAGTAACACCGAGAAGGGTTCGGCTGTCAATCAACAAGTTGATTGGCTAATTGCATTGATTAACGTGCTCTCTGACCAATGGGAGAGCTATATGACCCCAATAGGTGTTTTGATTAGTGCCAGGTCAAGTCCCTGGGTGGTGGACCAGAAAACAAGTTAAAAAAAGAAAGCCTGTAGACTGCAGGTTGAAGTCACAGACAGAGCTACTCCAGATTTTGGACTTTTTCTCTATGCAGTATGTTTTTTGTTCTAATGCTTGGGTGGATTTTGTTCATTGGAGTCTTTTGTGCCACACACGACTTGGCTACAGACAACAGAGAAAGGTAGGTAGCAACTGTTCTGTTGAGTGTTTTCCTGCTGCAAAATGAAAATCGGGACTGTTGCGTTGATATGGGGCCGTAAACGTCTTACAAAGCTGCAACTGTGAGCTTTCCAACTGTGTAGTATGTCATAGAGTTTAGATGACGTCCAGTACAGACCTTGAGGTCCCACTGATGGGACTTGGACATTATGGGTTACTGAGTGCAGGTGACAAAGGAAAGGAAAACCTGTTGTTGCGTTTTCCTTTCCTTTGTCCCTGTAGATGTGGATATTCTCTAGCTATGGAGTCACATGTTTATGTGGCAGTTCATCTTTAATTTGGTGCATGCAGTCAAGCATATACATAATATCGCACTGTCACGTCCATGAGAAACTTTGAATAACCAGGTAAAAATGTATTTTTGAAATGGATGACAAACACAACATTTTCCTTGAGTCAGCTCAGATAGATGATCGTTCTCTCTAGGATTACACAGTTTATGAAATCTAATTTCAGCTGGCTGAGCTGTTTTTTTCAGTCCATGAACAGTCTCATGAGAAACACCAGACTGTGTTTTGACAGTTTGTTTGAGGACCTGGTATAGCTCCTGTCGCAATGAGTTCTTTTTGCAGGAAGTCTGATTACAACCCTCAGTGTCCACATGGTCGACATTCAGCTGCAGCCCTTATATTACTGCTACTGGGCCTGAATAAAAAAGGGGACCACGTAAGAGTCTGATGGTCGGGTGGAAAAGTCGAGGATCAGGACTTTAGATTGAAAATAAATTGACTATCCATCCCAGGGGAAGTAATTCAGAAACAATTCAGCTTCTCCTGCAGCCTCGCTATCATCCACACAGTCGTGAAGACTTTCGTCAGCGCTCACAATGACATAGTCCTTCACTCCAATGAACAGTGTTTATTCTGCTCAGCAGAGTAAACATGACACCGTGTCCCTGAGCCTGGGCAGTGACGTCTGTCCTAAACAGTGACCCTCCACCTCTCGAGCTGTTGGAGAGTAGTTTCTGTTTAATGTAGTAAACATGGAATACGTCGCCCAGCACAGCAGTTTGACTCATTTAGGTGTTGTTAGCATCGGCTTAGAACAGCTGGGTTCTTTGGAATCGTGGCATAAACTGTCAGTCCTGTCCTTTTCTGCTTTGACTCCCACTATATCTCCTATGACAGCAGGTAACATTTAGGAAAGAACTGTCCAGCTATAAAGCTGTATGTACATAATCATAAATGTGTTACCTGCAGTTTTCAACTGTTGTAACTTTTTAAGACATTACTGAAGATAAAATTTACAGCTGTACAAAAATGGTTCGTTTTGCCCATCGTCATGCAGGAAGAGAGGGCACCGAGTCTGCCTGGTTTTCACAAGCATTAATACCTATTGAGCCCAGAACAACAGCTGACATTTCTTCACTTCAAATTGTCTTGGTTGATGAAAACACAGGATATGGAGAATATATGGGGGGTAACATGAACCTATAGATAGTCAAACCAAAATGTGTTTATATAACACTTGAAAAACAACAGTGTGTTGACCAAAGTGCTTTACATAAGCCACAATAAAATTAAATAAAAGCAAAGGACAGTAAAACACTTGAAGAGCAGACATGTCAGCTCTACTATGATCCAAATGCTCTGAAAAATAAATGGGTTTAAGCAGAGACATAAGGACTAACAGATCTAATATTAATAGGTAAACTGCTCCATAGTTTTGGGGCCTTTATGGTGAAAGCATGATCACCCCAGCGCTTGTATCTAGGTATGTCTAAAAGAAACAGATTCCATGTCACTGGCTTGTTCCGCTGCAGGAGGTAAGAAGGGCTCCATCCATTAAGCGCCTTAAAAATGAATGACAGTAATTTAAAATCGATTCTAAAACAGATTGGAAGCCAGAACGGGTTCTGAGAGAATTTGTCAGCAGATGAGCAGCTGCGTTTTGAACCTGTTGGAGACAAGACAGGGAGACTGATCAACTCCAGAGTACAGCGCATTGCAGTGGCCCAGCCTGGAGCTGATCAAAGCCTAGATCACCATTTCAAAATCACTAAAAGAAAGAAGTGACTTGACTTTGCTTAACAGTCTCAACTGGAAGCAGCTTGCCTTCACCGCTGAATTGATGTGTTTATCAAAATTCCTTTCAGTAATAACACCCCAGATGTTTTTCCATGGGTGTGAGGTGCAGGGCCCAGGACCGTAGTCAG